TCAGTTCCAGCCCTGAAATCGAAAGATTTCTCCGTGGAATTCGTCACCAGGTATGTAGGATTTCATTAGTGGGTTCCTTTCGCCCATTAGGTCCCTAGAATTCAGTCAGATTCTTGATTCCATGATTATGAATAGACCTAGGGTTTCTAGAATTACAGCAGATCATCATGAATTTGTTATTAACATGTTCCAAATCAGATTATCATGTTATTTCTCAGTTTCTCGCATGAATTTCAGAACCCTAGCTATGTATTTCTTTAGTTCTTGAATTACACATGCTAGGTCAGATATTTCAGTATTCAGTTATACATGCCTCAGTTTATGAATGCATCATTATCAGATTAATTGTTGCATTCTCAGTTTGCATATTTAGTTTGAGCTATCCAGTATTCACATAAATTTAGTCATAACCAGTTAACTACTTAATTCATTGGGAGTAGCATAATACCGAGTTGGACTAGGGTTTCAGCGTACCCATATAGTCCCAGAACTACGAGCCACGTAGGTGTAAGTCCCCTCTGTGGGCAACATCAGTTTAGTGATCACGCCAGCATGCCTCTATACCTCTGGCAGGGTATATTGGGTCCTCTCGATGGGGCGTATACATCGGACTCCACATTTAGCTCATGTGGTTTTATGTCGGTTATTAGTAGCTCCCACAGTTCAGTCAGACTCTATTGCATTGACCATATTTCAGTACAGTCAGTATTCAGTCTCAGCATGTTATAAATTTGGTCATTGCATCAGTTAGCTCAGTATTCAGTATTTTCAGTATCTATATCATGTTCAGATTATTTCATTGCTTTATTGCTTTGTTCAGTTATATGTTATTTCAGCTTTACTCTATCCTGCATGCTCAGTACCTTTCAAAAACTGACGCATACGTGCGCTACATCTTCTCGCGATGTAGGTTCAGGTTCTCAGCATCCAGATCACGCTTAGATCGATTCCCGATCTTCAGTTCAACAACATCAGTGGTGAGTCCTCATTCTTCGAGGACTAGTGACATGTTTATCTTTATCGCTTTTAGTCTTCAGTTTCAGTTTTGCTAGATCTAGTTGGGTCATGTCCCAACATTTCTAGTCAGTTTAGAGGCTTATTTCAGACATAGTTAGATTCAGCTTAGTATTGAGTTAATATCTTCTTTGTATTAAACTCCTCAGTTTTCATTTATCTCAGTTATAGTATATGGGTATTCCCCATCCTTTCATGTTATTTATGATTTAGCTTCCGCATCATTTTATTATCTTTAGTATGCTCATGATCATGCCAGCAGGGTTAGCTTGGGATCACTTGTGGTCCTAGGTCCCGTGTCCGCGTCTTGGGGGTAGCTCGGGGGGTGACACCGGCAATGGTTGTCGATTATAGAGCTCGTATGAGTAAGTTTGTTTTGGGTATTTCCAAAATGGTGGTCAAGAAGTGTAGAACCACTATGTTGATAAAGGAGATGGACATCTCAAGGTTGATGACTCATGCTCAACAAATCAAGGAGGAAATATTTAAGGAGAGGGCTAGAGAGACCAAGAGGGTAAGAATAGATAGTTGTGATTTCTCTCACACTTGAGGTCCGATGGAAGTGGTCATTCTCAGTTTCGACAGAAGTTCTTTGATCCAAATTCATCTAGTGCTCCTGTTCAGAGGTTCAACAGGGATAGGGTGTCTAACCCTAAGCCTCAAGGAGGTGTTTCTAATGTATCTACATTCTCCACTTGTCAAAAGTGTGGCAAGAGTCATCCGGGAGATGCTTAGCTGGTACCGATGGACATCTCAAGGTTGGTGAGTCATGCTCAACAAATCGAGAAGGAAAAATTTAAGGAGAGGGCTAGAGAGACCAAGAGGGTAAGAATAAATAGTTGTGATTTCTCTGACTCGAGGTCCGATGGAAGTGGTTATTCTTAGTTTCGACAGAAGTTCTCTGATCCAACTTCATCTAGTGCTCCGGTTCAGAGGTTCAACAAGGATATGGTGTCTAACCCTAAGCCTCAATGAGGTGGTTCTAGTGGATCTATATTCTCCACTTGTAAAAAATATAGCAAGAGTCATCCGGGAGATGCTTAGCCAGTACCGATGGTTGTTATGTTTGTGGTAAGACTGGCAAATTGAGGGACTGCCCTTCGCTTGCTAGAAATGGTAGATATGGTCGTCAGGCTCAACCTAGTGCTTCTTCTGGTCGCCCGACTCAACAAGCTGCTTCTTCTGGTTCTGGTGTTATTCAGCGTCAGGACAAGTTTTATGCTCTTCAGACTCGTCAGGATCATGAAGGTTTTCCAGATGTGGTCATTGGTATGTTATGCATCTTTCAATTTGATGTTTATGCATTGCTTGATCCAGGTGCTTGATATACATTGTCTTTTGTGACTCCTTATGTGGCTATAAAGTTTGATGTCAGTCTCGAAATCCTTTAGAACCTTTCTCAGTCTCTACACCTATCGGTGATTTGATTGTTGCTAAACGTGTCTATAGAATGTGCCCGGTCTCAATTTCTCATAAAGTCATCCCAGTTATTCCGCCTTTCCCAAAGTCTCTATATTAACGGTCTGTCACAATTTAAAATATTTTACCCTATAATTACATTTTGTTTAATATAGTGAAGAATTGAAAATGTTTTTCATAATTTTTATCAATTTAAGTATTAACTTTAATGTCCTGGCTTATAAAATTAATTAAAAAATACAGTAGCAAGGATAAATTAATTAAAACAATAAATAAATTAAAAGTTTTGTTAAAAAAAATCAAAATAAAAAAGGTAAAAATAATATCACAAACCACACTAGGCTAAATACGGAGGTATCTGAAATTATACTTGCTTATTTAAAATGAGAAATATATAAGTGAAAAAAGGAATTTTATTTCTGCAATGAGCATGAATCCCCAAATCTAAAGCCCTAAAAACCAAAAACGAGATATAACTAATCGAATTACTTTACTCATCTCTAGTGTTTGATTAAACGAAAACCCTACTGGGTTTTATCTGATCAATCATCGGTGTCTTCTTCACTGAGTTGCAATGGGAGCGAGTCGAAAGCTACAGGGTGAAATAGATCGAGTTCTGAAGAAAGTTCAGGAAGGCGTTGATGTCTTCGATAGCATATGGAACAAGGTTCCTTTTTCCGTTCAGTAGCCTACATTTGAAGGATTTTTCTTTTATTGACTATTCGTTTCCCTGTTTCTTCAGGTTTATGATACGGATAATGCCAACCAGAAGGAAAAATTTGAAGCGGATTTGAAAAAGGAGATAAAAAAGCTTCAGAGGTATAGAGACCAAATCAAAACATGGATTCAATCGAGCGAAATCAAAGATAAAAAGGTAAAAGTTTACTTGTTTTAAATTATGCTGTTTTGGTGACAATTCAATTTTTTTCTTGTAGTACACTATACTAGAATGTTCTGTATTCATTTCTTATTGCATGACACCGGGTTGTAAGACTTACTATCATATTAATAGAATCGCCAGTCAGTGATTCACGTTCTCTCAATTTTCACATAGCATGCCATTATAACGTGTGCAGTTCCAGATCAACAAAGTGTTTCGTCTAGAAATGTTTAGATTACTTTTACTCATTAAAAAACCAATTCTCTGCATGTATGGTGTCAAGCATTTAGCCCGTCATTGATAAGAGTACTTAGTAACAACACATCCAATTACTTCTCAAAAAAAAAACAACACATCCAATTCACTGAAGTAAGGTGAGAACCATGAGCTCTTCAGGTTCAAATCCAGAACGGAGCAAAAATATTAGGTGATTCTTTTGAATCTGTCCAAGTTTTGGTGGAGAGAATTACGGCTACCTGTGCTAGTGGAGGTACCTCATTGAATTAGTGGAGGTGCGCATAAACTGGACCGCGCTCCATGGTTATAGAAAAATGATAACTTAGTCACAACCAATCGAGATCTGCAAGTGTCTACAAATTTCTTAATTTAAGTTGATTGACATCAAAATAATAGAATGACCCGTAGTGCGGGTTACCTCTCCTATGTGGTTTGCGAGCTATTGCATAGGAGCGGGGGTTTTATCTTGTGCGCACCCAAAGGGTAGCGGCTGCGGGTCTCCCTTGTCATAAAAAAAATTAAATAATAGAATGATCCGGACTTATTTATTGTTCTAAGGAAAAGAAATACATGAACTATAATGAAAGAAAAAAATGTATAGAAGTCTCCAGATAAGATTACAAAAGTCTAGGAGAACCAAGTTAAAGCTAAAACGTTCAGCAAGTATAAGCTACTTGAGAAACCTAGACTGTTGTGATCATTCAGTTTTGCTGTTCTTGATCTTAGTAAAAGAATAAGGTCTGACTGCATGTGAGAAGATACTGTCCACAGGCTGGCCTGTATGAAAAGCTTGGTCATAGCCTACTACTGTATATCGTGTCAGCTGTTCTAGAAATAGTGCCGATTATGATCCTATTTGTCAGCCTCTGAAGTTTGAGTGATCCTCTTTATAGTTTCCAAGTTTAGGTGATCTTTAAACTTGTTTTTACTTGAAAATTTCAAGGACTGCATCACAGGGTCAACCTTTAGTTTCTACCTTGGCATGGGATCTTCTGGCCCACTACTCTTTCCTACCAACTGGAATTGCTTCCCATTTAATTGAGACCCCTGTTAGACATTAGGTGTTTATTTCTGTTTTATTACCATATTTGAGCGATACATGAGATTTTTATGTTGGTAGAGATGGTTTTAGAGAGAGCACGTCGCATGTAATTGTTGATTGTTCTACAGGCGTTTGTTTAATCAAATTCATGGGCAAATTAAATCTACCTAATATATGCTGCCTCTTTAGAAGGATAGGGGAAGTGGTGCAGTTGTCTGGGTGGGAAGGAAGTGGCAAGAGGTATGTAGTACAGTAGTAGGGAGAATTGATGGAGAAAGGGGAAGGACAAGAAGAGAAAATGCTACCACTGAAGGGAACTAGATTGACTTAGGAGAAAGCAAGAAAGTAAAAATGTTTCATCCTTGTTGCAGACAAAAGCATGGTATTTAAGTGGAGAAGGTAGAGGGGCAGCCCCATTATCTGCCTAGTTCCGAATCATGGGCCACAGACCCTCGTAGATTCCCCTCTCTTTTTTTTTTTTACCAAAAGTGAAAATGTTCTGTATAGACAATTGAAATGGAATCATTACTAATTTTCTGGGACATGTTGGCATAATTAGTATGTGAATGACTCTTAGAGAGGTTTTAGCTGTGTGTTTATTTTTCAAGTTGTACTGCCTCTCCATATTAGATGCCTTAAATGATTGAGTATGGATCTTAAGATTAGAGTTGAACTGTTGAAGTTATATATGAAGAAGATGGATTCATATTTTGAACAAAGTTTTATTTGATGATATGAACTTCTACTGATACACTATCGTATAGACTATAGTATATAGCTATGCCTTTTTTTTTGTAGGTTAGTAATGACTTATTGGCATTAGTTTGAATAAAGTAATGGCTTTCCGCCAGACAATAGAAAGTGGTTGAATTTTCTTAGTTCTGACTTTTGAGTTGGTGGCTACCCTTTTTGCATCAATGCATTCATTTGCCTTTTGTGTGATCATAGATTTTTCTTTTTGTTTTTCGTCAACAGAACCATGGAAATTTATTTGACCTCTTCTGATTTTACTTATTGACATAGGTAAGTGCGTCATATGAGCAAGCATTGATGGATGCTCGTAAGCTTATTGAGCGTGAAATGGAACGATTCAAAATCTGTGAGAAAGAAACTAAGACCAAAGCATTTTCAAAAGAAGGCTTGGGCCAACAGCCTAAGACGGTAAGCATTGCTCTGCAATTTTGAGGTCACCAGTTTCTAGATCTGGATATTTTATTTTGGTTTGTGTTTTTTTGTTTCCTTGCTAGAAGTTAATAGTTACCATCTGAAAGAAATTCTTAGGAAGTGGCTAACTATTTCGAGTATTGTCCACATTCCTAGATATGCACATTTTAAAGCCTAATACTAATTTTTTCTTAGAGAAAGATCTTTAGAAATGGTATTTTCTCAGTGAAAGGATTAATCATTAAAGAGGAAATTTGAGGACTAAGGCCTCATTTGTTGGAACATAATGAAAGTCCGAATGTTAATCATTCAGGCCTCAGTTGATAAGTTTTTTTAAATTTTTTTTACAACCACTAATCAGTCTGAAGATCCAAATAATTAAGATCTATTACAAAGTTTAATATCATTAAGATGTTTATTCAAGAATTTCTACAAAGATGACAATTCAACTCTATTCACTATCAGAACTAACTGTCACCGCTGACCTCCATTTTCAACTACCACTTCCCACCACCCACGACTGCCATCCTTAGTCACAACCATCACTGCCCCCAATTACCATAGTCGTCCTTCACTACCATTAGCCACTGTTTAAAATCATCACAAGTAACCACCATTACAACCACCAATCACTACCAAGAGTCATCACCATCAACAACCACTATGCGTCGCCAACCACCGTCATCATTCACCACCACCATTAGCTATCACTATCATTCACTTTAATTATTAGTTGCCACCACCAACTACCATTGTTGATAATCACTAATGTCAGCCACCATCACCACTAGCTACCACCCACAACCATCGCCATCACCTAACACAATCCCCAATTAACACCCACAGCAATTCACAAGGAAAGGAATGGTAGATGTTTTGAAAATAGATCCAATTCCATTCACAAGGTCAAATGGAATTGTATAGTATCCTTACTTTTTTGGTGTAAACAGTTGTGTATAGTAGATACAGACCAGATTGTAGATTTGATAGGAAGCTTGTAACTGACACTTTTTGGTGGTGACCAGCATGCCCTTAATGCTGAAGAATACAATCTTACCAGTTTCAAAAAAAAAATTAACACCCACAGCCATAACCACCTCCAACTGCCATATAATTTTTTTTAAAAATATTTTATTGATATAGTATTAAATTAATTTAGTAATTTGTTTGAATTATATATTTAGATATTGAGAAAACAAACAATCTTAATTATTTAGTGTTCAAATCTTAATTTTCAGATCTGTATTCTGATTCAAACATCTAAAGTATTCTGATTCAAACGTCTAAATCTTACTGTACATCTTGATATTTAGATGTGTATTCAGATTCAAAGAACAAATGAGGCCTAATACTTCCACCTAACATAAACAGTACTATTGTCAAAAAAAATAAATACTTCCACCTAACATTACTGCTTTTTCTGGACTAGGCTTGTACTATTCTCACAATAGTTCATCAATTTTTCTATTATTCTCAAGAACAGTTAATCAATTTTTCCATCTAACATCAATGATGTCTTTTATCATCCATTAATGAGAGCTTAGTGAAACGGAGGTCAAACTGATGCTTCTTCTTGCAATTTTAGTTCTACCATATGCTTTGTTCCAATATATTTTAGTCCATGTATGGGTCCAGTGTCAGGCTGTCAGCTTCTCATTTGATGGCATTGGACCATTTTGGTTGTAAATGTATTGTTCTGACTTTTTGTTTCAATTTGTTGTTCCAAATTTATCAGGATCCAAAGGAGAAGGCTAAGTCAGAGACAAGAGATTGGTTGAATAATGTGGTATGAGTAATCATTTTTTTTCCAAAGATTCTATTGGTCAAAATTTTTCCTTACATGTATCATTGTGAGATATTTACACCTAATTGGGTCTCTTTCCATGTGTTTATCTTCCAAGGGTAGACGTAGAGCAACTTCTCTTTTCATCTGTTTGTCTTCCAAGGGTAAAGACTCATAATTTAATAAGTAAGATTTTTTATTAAAAAATAGCCCCAGGGTGCAATGGGTGAGTAGTAGTGAGTACAACCCCAACAATATGCATCTTCGTATAGTAGCTACATGTCAAAAGAATTGAGGAAATTAACCATCCTATCTACTTCCGTGCGTTTTTATTTGATGCCAAAAGGCTAACTGGCTAGGAGAGTTAACCATCTATGCTGTGAGGTACAAATAATATCTCTTTTGCCTTCCAAGTATCTCTGATTTCTTTCTTCCACACAGTCAACCATATAGGCGCTAGTAAAGTGTTCCACAACATTTTGTCACCTTTTTGAAGCCCTCCTCTATTCCAACATTGTGATAGGCCTTTTGGAGATTCTGGCATGCACTATTTGACTTCAAGCAAAATAAAAAATGTACCAGATCTGGGTTGAATTTCACATCTTCATAATCTTCACACATTACACTTCTGTTGCAAAAAGTCGTACCTCTTCTTTATAAACTGTGATGGATCAAGCAAGCTTTTCTTGCCCACTAGCCATATAAACACTTTTACTTTATAAGGTGCTTTGTTTCTCCATACAATTTTCATGGCCATATTTGTTCATGTTGTCTACTTTGAGACAAAACTTGATACTCATACTTCACTGGGATAAGACCATCCTTACGTACCCTTCGTACTATCCTATTTGGTTCTAATTGGTATCTTTGGAAGCTATCTGTCATCTTTAGGAAACTCCTCATTTCCTCCATTCCGGATCATTACATCTTCTTGTAAGGGGAATGTTCCATCCTTGAGTTGACGAATAATCTTTCACTGAGGCATCATGATTATTTACTGTGCTGAAAATGGTATGGAACTGATCTTTAAGGGGTGTATGCACTAAGCATCTTTATTTTAAAAAAATAAAGTTTTAGTATCACCTATTTTGGTGTAAATGTGTTCTCCTAACATAATCCATAAGTTTCTGGTTTATTTCCAATTGTCAACTCTGTACAGCTGCCTTGGGTTGCTACTTCAAAACATTGAATGCCTTCTATCTGTACTTCCCTCAATCACTTACCTCGTAGTGCCTTTTCCTTGCAAAATCTTCATAACTACTTCATAAGGAAACTGGTGCTGTGTGCCCTTAGATTTCAGACTCCCAATCCATCTTCCTTCTTACTGGTAATCGCCATTTCCCACTTAACCTGTTTGAACAACCATATCATTGTTCCTTGTTACAAAAGATCCCTCCTTAGTTTATCAGTTCTCTTCTCTGTAAAGAATTATATTGATGTGAAGCAAGCCAGCATTAAGGTAATGCTGGGGCAAAAGTACATCTCTAGGAGAACTTTACAATGTGTAAAGAACTAAGAAAGTCAATAATAGCTTCCGGCTCTAAAACATATGCGGTAGTATTGTTGCACCAGAGGCTAGGCAAACTATACACTTGATCTTTAGATTAGTAACTTGTCCTTGTAGTTTTCAAAAACTCTTCACATTTCTTTCTCTCCATACGACCCACCATTACCACCCTAGGAATGATTTTGCAGACATATTTGGAAGATTTTGTAAGGTCCAATCTATGCCAGGATAGCAAAAATTCCACTCTATCTTTAGGCATGCACCATTGGATACCCAGAACATTAAAACAGAAATGCCAAATCTGTTGAGAGAAGCTGCAATGGAGAAATAAATGGTTGACATCTTCTGCCTCCTCTTCACATAGAGCACATCTGTTGCAAAGAGTAATGCCTCTCTTTTTAAGATTATCCAGAGAGACATTTTCTATGTGCCAGGAAAATATTTAACTTTGTAAGGAGCTTTATTCTTCCAAATTGATTTCCATGGCCAAAAGATAAGAGCGGGAGTACTGGTTGTCAGGATTGTAGAATAATTTTTCACATAAAAGATTCCACTATTTTTGTGTTTCCGAGATAGGGAATCTTGAAGAGAGTTCAATGACGATAGAGAGTTAAGAAGACCCAACAGGTTCAAGATATCTCCAATTTCACAATCACCGAGATTTCTCCTAAAGGGAATGAACCATCCTTGGTTAGACCACTTTGTTTGGTATAGTTAACTGATACATAATTTAGGCATGACATATTGTTTAGAACCTGCCTTCCTCCCAAAAGCAAGTAATTTCCAATAGGCCCGTCTCTTTTCACACATATCTGTTACCCCTTCCCAAATACTGTATTCATGGTGATAGACACCTAAGGTGAATATTTAGTTGGCGATTGGCCTACTTCCATCCTGGCGAATCTGAAAACTATTGAATGTTGTACGCCTCGTTTGCAGAAAAATCTAAGTCCATAATTTATGTTTAGACTTGATATTGCCTCAAAGAGCAATAAGATTGTTTTTAGTTGTAACCATTGCATCTCTTTGATGCCTTTCTAATACAATTAAATTACTTCACCAAAAAAATAAAGTAAAATAAAAAAAATGTAGTATTTGTCCAACACCGCAACCATAATGAGAGTGGCATAAAGCAAGAGATAGATCATCACTGCTCCTTGTCCTTTAACTTCTACATTGAAGCCCTTTACCCAATCCAGTTGCGAAGTCTGAACCATCCTATTAAGACATTCCATGACTAAGAATTCTCAATTCATGTGATCATATGTTGCTTAGAGATAATCTTGAAAATGTTTCCTACCAGACTAATAGGTCTAGAATTCTTTATATTCGTTGCTCCTTCCTTCATTGGCATAGCAGTAATAACGAGGCATTATGACTTTTCTCGAACTCTTATTTCTTGGAATTTCTCAATGGTCTCCATCAACTAACATTTAACTATCCTCCAGCACTTTTCTCGAACTCCTAGTTTCTTGGAATTCTGATAGTTTTGTCTTGGTGCTCTAATAACTTTCGAAATTGTTTTGGGGTAGGTTGGGGAGCTTGAAAGTCAAATTGACAATTTCGAGGCTGAATTGGAAGGACTCTCAGTTAAAAAAGGGAAGCAGAGGCCCCCAAGATTGGTAAGAGGATGTAAAATTAAGTGTGTATTGTGCATTTGGCTTATCGTGATTGATTAAAGGTCACTTCTTTTATGTTTTCTCTAGGTACATTTGGAAACATCCATTACTCGGCACAAGGCTCATATAATGAAGTTAGAGTTAATTTTAAGATTACTGGATAATGATGAATTGAGTCCTGAGCAAGTTAACGATGTCAAGGATTTCCTCGACGATTACGTGGAAAGAAATCAGGTATACTATTCTGTACAATTTATTCCTCATGTGTCTGGTGTAGGTTATTGTGAAGAAATTAAATATAATTATCACTCTAACCTCTTAATTTAAATGGAATTCTGAAGCTGCTAGGTTGCTATCTCTTTCTCTTCACTTGTTTCTGTTTATTCACTTCTGATGTGTTCTTAGGATTGTTCTTGAAGTAATGATATCTTTTTGGCATGTAATATTACCATTTGCTTGGACTGCTGTATTTTTGCAGGAGGATTTTGATGAATTCAGTGATGTTGATGAGCTCTACAGCACTTTGCCACTAGATAAGGTGGAGTCTCTTGAAGATCTGGTTACCGTCGTTCCACCTGCTCTTGTCAAGGTAATATACATCCAAATCATCATTTCTTCTAATTTCTTTTTCTACTTAAATTATTCATTTATTGTTCATCTTTTATGTTTTGACTGATATATTTGTCTCTTTCGCTATACCAAAATAAATTTGTGGTCATTTTCTTAATTCTAATGTATGGGTGTAGGAACCTTTTGATCTTTAATGCATACCATTCCTGAACACAATTCTTCTTAATAGTTAGGCCAAAACCCTAAAACTAAAGGAAACCACAAAAGAGATGTTACCTGTTATGGTGAAAAAAGCAAAACAAATGTAAGAAGCACTCAAATTAGCCTGATAGAGAGAAGTGAGAAACAGAGAACTCTGTATCATTGCTAGCATTTTAGCCCCTTAATCAGTCCAAAGTCAGGCGATTTACCATTGTTGTGCTTGGTTATCAAAGATGTTGATCAGCTGTGCATATACTGTTCGTGTGAGTTTTCTTGATTTGCTGGATTTTTGTTTTGAAGATTGGGTGTTTACTTCTAGGGTGAGCATGAGATTTCCAATCTGCTAAATTCTGGGAAACATGGAATGTGAATTGATAGGTATAAGAAGCGGATATGATGTGATCCTACTCATGAATTGCTTTGAATCTGTTAACCTGAAGATTTTTGCTGTCTTTTTAATTGGCAGTTCCCAATTGAATTAGGCATTGGTTGGTCCTAAGGGTGGCAAAATCAAGCCGTTTATTAGCTCAACCCATTTCAACCCATTAAAAATTGGGTTGATTTGTAACCCAAATTGACTCATTTTAAAAATTTGATATGTTATATATGGCCATAATAAATATTTTTTTTATTAGGTACTAAAATATTTAAAAGAACAAATAAAATAATTAAAACTTAGTAAAAATTGGGTTGAGTTGGGTCTTGACCCATTTTGACCGAAACAAATTTGCGTTGGGTTTGGTCTTGACCCGTTTATTGCCTTGACCCATTATGATCCGTCCAAATTTTAACCAACTTGCCCAATTGCCACCGTTTGTCACTATGAGGCCCAATGCCTTTTCCGTGCATGTAAATTTACTATTTGTGTGGACGTATATTAGGAATTTCTACTGGCTCAAGTGAAGATTTTGCATATAGGGTTTTTGTTTGTGATATGTAGATCTACATGGGTTGAGGGTTTTGTGGTTGATAGCAAGCTGAGGATTTCAACGGAACAATAATGCTTTTTATTTCTCACGTGATCAATTCGTCAAGCTTAACTAGACTTCAACATCTTCTATCATATTTATAGATTTGGAATAAAATTGTCCACTTTTTATAAATATAAATATTACAATACACCAAAATTTTGTATCTGATACGAGTGGATCAGAAGTTCGGATTCTCCATCGGGTGAATTTTGAGATTTGAGGATATGGATTCGAGTGTGGATACCAGTGCTAAGATACTATTAATTATTTAAAAATGTTGAAAAGCAACTTTTTTTTCCTATTAAAAGGTGATTTAAAAATCCATTTCTATTAATTGAGTTAAATGAAAAATGTCTACGTAATTGCAAATTGCTAATATAATAGTTTGAATTATTTCTCAAAAAAAAATTTGAATTGAGAAAAATAATTGTTTTCTGTTTAAAAAATTGGTTATCATTCTCTATTTATGCTTCTTGAGCTTTGTAAGTGACTCGAAAGCAAAAAGTATTTGTCGTAGAAATAATTGTGTTTTTACTAACTAGAGCACAAAAAGTATCAAGTATTTGTGGTAAAATTTAAATTCGGTGTAAACACTTAAATATTTTATTTATAAGGTATCTTGTACAAAAGCAAAGTGTTCTAGTACTTTATGTGCTATATATGATATAAACCAAATTCAAACCAAATACACAATTATTCTATATTTCTTGGGAATGGGTTTAGTCAAAAGCACCCAAGATAGGTTGACTAAATCCAGTGCAGATCCCACACCATACCTAAATTGTGTTGGATGACATGAGTTCAGAAAAGATTTTGAAGGATCTGGCAACATAGATCAAAACTCTTAAGAGCCCGTTTGGATTGGCTTAAAAAAGTAGCTTTTAAGTCAAAAAATAATAAAGTCAAACTGAAATGACTTTTAAGTCAAAAAATAAAATGTAGGGGGAGACCTAACTTTTGGTTTCTGACTTATTTTAAGTCATTTTTTAGCTTGCCAAACACTTCACAACTTATTTTAAGTCATTTTTTACTTATTTTAAGTTATTTTTTATATTTGCCAAACACTTCCAGTAGTCAAAAAACTGACTTAAAAGTAGGTTTGACCAACTTTTAAGCCAATCCAAACACCCTCTAAGACTAAGTTGGAGCTCTAAATCCCTAAAGCTTGCCTTTTCTATTATTAAAAAGGGAAGTGACTAGGTTCTTCAGACACTTTACCTTTAATAAAAAAAAATGAGGGAAGTGACGAGGTAGGCCTAAATTACATGGATGGAAGTTGTCTCCTTAAATCTCTTGAAATAAATAGGAACTTAACTAAGAACATTACACAATATAAGCAAAGGTTCTATATAAGCTATTCCGACTACCTGGGATTTTGGCTTAGTTGTTGTTATTAGGTCTGAGTATAGATAAGTGTGAGGTTTGGATAACCTTCAAGACAAATATTTTACCACTACTGGAATGAGTTGAGACCGAATAGAGTTAAATAGATATAGGTGATTCACCTTGGCAGCCACGAGTTATTTGGCTAGAGACGTAATTGTGGTTTATGCAAGTAGCAGTTCCTTTTACTAGTATCTTTTGGTATTCAAGTAGAGGAAAGAAACTCTTTGCCCATCTATGTAGGGATGGGCCATACAGCCTTTGCAGAAGCTGTAACTTCTTTTTGGTTTTCCAGGGTGTCACTGTTCCCAGTGCGGTTTTGAGTGTGAAAACTTCCCTGGCCTCTCCACCTGCTCAAGCATCGGTATGGTTCACTTCTCTTTCCATAGTCTGTTGCACATCTTTTCTTCCAATGCTACTAAGGCTGGCCGGTGTTTATTTGGAATGATAGAAATATAGTTCTGACTTGTTGCTATTTTCTTAAAGCTTGATACAATAATTTTTTTCGTGTAGAGTAGTGTACTTGGTACTCATTGTTTTGTCTTTGTATGCATTTTTGAATTGATATTGCTCTTCTGCATTTGTTCCAATTTTGTCATTCACTGCTTGGAAGTGTTGTTTCGTTAGATGCTTAGGGCAATGGATATCCTTTGGAAAATTTTCCAATATAATTGGTGGATTATGAGCACAATTCTTCTATTAATCTTTGAATCGTAAGTGGAGAACAGATTTTTCAAAAATAATTCGTATTCTATCTGTCTCTGTTCGTTTAATTAAAATATGATGAGTCATTTATTTATCATGAAAAAGGGTTCGAAAAAAAATGATGCATCTGTTGAAGAGCTTATTTCAGACTAATACAACGTGAAAGAAAAGCTGCTTAACCACTTCCCATTGTTAAGAGATATGGCGTCCTTTTTTCATTAAAGTTTCTTGCATCATCTAGGCTTTCTCCACCGAGTAGCTACTGGAAAAGTAGTTACTGACAACATTAGATGTATCAATTTGTACAACTTGTTGCTTGTTTCTGTCACCACAAATCTTAGTTAATGCGGTGTTTTGGACAGCGAAAGGCGACAAGGGCCTGCCTCGCCTTTTTGAAATGCGATACCAATTAATACGAGAAAGTTAAAATATTTAATTGCATATGTAAATAATCAGATTCTCAATAGCAATAACATATTAGCAAAATATTTCAATTCAAAAACTGAAAATAGATGGTACATACTGTTAATGCATTGAACTTTTCAGGAGCTCAACAATTGATGTACCTTCTCTTATAGAGTTTTCTTTCCTGGTCAAAGAACTTATATAGAGTTTTTAAAAGTTTGATCTCTTTCATCTAAAGGGAGGATCATTTTGAGAAAGCAATAATTTTATTGATTAGAATTCCATGTACAAGTAGTATAAAACTAAGTTGCCTGGATTCTTCACTTTTGGTGCTGCATCCATGTCGACACAACATAGGTGTGGGATCCGTACCGGATATGGTCAAACAACTTTGGATAATTGGACCAAAATTGATCGACTAATTCGAGAAAAATACAATGATTCCTAAAATCAAAACAAAGGCTAGGGTGAAATCATAATTTAGCCTTGTTTTTTTATCGTCAAAACATATTTGTACTAAACAGTATGCAACTAGAAGGTGCTTTAAAGTAGTGTTATCAAAGACGCGCTTAAAGTGCACTTAAGCCTTGGAAGGGAGGCGCAACACATGTTGAGCTCTTCACGTCGTTCTATGTGTGCTTCAATATCGTCATCAAGGTTCTAAGGCATACTTTTCCTTGCCAATGAACCTTTTCTGAAGAGACAACAATAAACAATTGATATTTCACTTTATCCTAATTATATTTCAATTTCTTTGTTCATATATTTGACAACATTCATGATTATAAACTATTAGTGTTCAACTATAAACATATATATTTGTACTTTTTTTTCTCCCTTTGGCCTTTTTCCATTAAAGCTCACACTTTATTTGAGCTTTGCGCTTAAAACCTCAATAGACCTTAGAACTTTTTTGCGCTTTTTGCTTTTGATAATACTACTTTAAAGATATTTACATGTCTATATCATTGCTGAATGTGCAATGAACTCAAAAAGTCTATCATGACTTCTCTGTATCATTTGCCATAGCCATGTTACACCAAAAAATATTAGGAGATGCATTTGTACTGAATAATAAATACATACTCAGCGTCTTGCTCTCAAAGATTCGTGCATTCTTTTCCTCTCAAATAGCCCATCATAATTTAGGCATATTTTATAACTCTATGTTTAGCTGAATCCATACTTTGATTTGTAAACCCGAATTTTGTAATTCAAATCACGAAGGATCCAACCTGTAGCTCAGCAGGACCCGCACATGTATTGTACACCCGCACCCGAGTTCAAGCAACTTAGGTAAATTAACTAAAAATAGGAAGTTAACTTCAAATGTATGAAATATTTTCCACCCCTTCAAAAGCTTTTCTATTCCTTACCAAAAAAGGTCCCGTTGCTCTCCTTCCAAAGAACCCATACGTGAGAAAATATATCTACATTCCATGTCCTGTGTTTCCTCTCCTCCTTCTAGTGGCCCAGCTGTTTAGCATCTATATTCCTGACATTCACATTGTTCACATTGTGCACCTGTATGCCTAATCAGCTCCAAACTTTACACAACTGGGTAGCAGCTTGACAATGCAGTGTGAAATGGTGAATGTCTTCTCTCGAGTGTCTCCACATGATATTCATCTCCTTCATCTGGGTTGTTCTTTAGTTTCAGTTTCTTTTATCGCTTATTATAAAACTCCATGATTTCTAAATTATGTGATTTAAATATTATTACTTTTGTACCATGAGAAGGGTTGCAAATATTTTCAAAGAAGTGGCTCCTTTGTCGTTCGTTTTATATTTTTATTTGAGAAGGTTAACTGGTATTATAAACAAAAGGAGTACAACAATAGTGTGCTCCTATGTAGTTACATCAAAAGTATGAAGGGACAGCCGAAACAAGAACTATCACCTATGTCCCTTATAAACTATCTAAAAATAGGGTAATATCCCCTATATCCTTGGGTACATTGTGGATACACCTAAAGTAAAAGCTTGCTAAAAAGTTCATCCTTCTATAATAATGTGATGAACAAGAGATGTTTTGATGGAGAGTCAACTGCTTTAGGCATTTTGAAGACTAGGTGCACCGAAAATTTGTTTAGTTGGACCAACTTGTATCCTGCTGTTAATGCAGAACAACTTCAGGATTTTACTAACTCATTAGCTCTGGCTTAGATAGTTTGTATAGTTAGCTAGAGATTTTTTTGTAAGCTCAAATGCCATATCTTGTAAATTTTGCATCTTCCTGATGTTGTTATTAATACCACTTATCTTATCAAAAAAATAAAATATTGTGATGATATTCTTCCAACCATTCACATTTGAAGAAAAACTGAAGCCTAAAGACAAATATTCTCGCGTAGGTACAGAAGATATATGCTCTTATCTTGTTTTATACTATTGTAGTTAATGATATGCATCCTACTACCTTATGAAAGAGAATGATATGCATCCTACATCTTACTATTTATGGTTGAAGTGACTCTTAAGTCTAACAACAAATATTTTTCCCTTTTGTACTTTTGAGAATAGACAAACGTTTCAAGGAAATATAATGCCTGTCTTTTTATATCATGAAGATGTGTGTCCTCCAATTCATTGCTGAAGACACTAAAACCCAATGTAAAAAGTTCATGTTTTTTGGAAAATTGATATATTTATAACTGTGATGTTCGGGTTAGCTAACGCGCACCTCGACTAATTCCACGGGATACCTGACACCTCCCACTGACAACGAGTACCAGTTAACTGTCCACCAAGGCTAGTATAGATGGAAAAATTTATATGGTTTTAAGTATGGGAATGTATTAAGAGACAATTTCCCAGGGAGGAACATCAACTTCTCAAATGTTTTGTGAGAAGGTGTAGCATGTGTATGTTGCTTCTTATGATGCCGATTCCTTGAATGGACCCTTTTTTTTGTTGAAACTGGTTTTAACGATTCCTCACCGACCATTCAAAACCCCCAATACACAAATATTTTAGCTCTAGGATCTCTAGCCCTCTTTCCCTTTCTCACAATAGCTCTTTGATGCAACTGTTAAATTGTCTTCAAAATTATTCACCTTTCTCATGTTAACACACAATACACTTTATTTTCTTGGTTTGGCAGTAAAGTTCGAGACCCGTTCTTTCCAAATTTATAGGGTTCCTTTTGCTTACCTGCATTATCAATATAGAGAACTAATTGATTATTTGCTTTCCTAGTGTTTGTAACATCTTCTACCTAGGTTACTCGGACAAGGGGTGGATGTCTGAAAAGGGTGTGAATTTAGAGGTCGAATTCTTGATGATCTAAATTTAAGATTCGGGGTATGGATTTAGGTAGGGATATGAGTGCGGGGATTCGACTAAAAGTAATTCAAGCATCTAAAAATTGAGCTTATATTTAAATTATGAGACATTATGTGGAAACTAACAAGGTATTACAACAACAACAACAACAACATACCCAGGGGAGGGTAGTAGGATGTACATAGACCTTAACCCTATCTTTGAAAACTAACAAGGTATTCTGAGGAGAATCCCAAAAGGAGATATAAGGAAAAGGACTGAGATAAATATTTCTGTTAGAACATGGATAGGTTTATACAATCCTATTAGAATAGGAATTGGTTTATACAATCTTATTAGAATATGAATAGGTTTATATAATCCTATTTAGAATAGAAATAGGAATACTAAATAGTATCCTACTTAGTAAAGGATTGTACTCTAGTGTCTATAAATAGGGTCTCAATGTAATAATGTAGACACAACAACAATTCAATAATATTCTTTTCCTATATTTCTCACATGGTCTTTTCCTATATTTCTCATATGGTATCAGAGCCTCTACGATCTTGGTAGAAAATCAAAGAGTTTCCGCTGCCGGCGGGGGGCTATTACCCATATATGTCACTCGTCTGACCAACAATTATGCTATCAAAATTTGTAGCACCGTGTCATCTTTTTGGTGACTATTTTTCATGTTTAATTTGTGTAGCACCGTGCCATCTTTCTGGTGACTACTTTTTCATAATTAATTTGTGTAGCACCGTGCCATCATTTCAGTGACTACTTAGGATTGTGCCATCATTCCGGTGACTACTTTCTCATATCTGATTTGTGTAGCACTGTGCCATCATTCCCGTGACTACTTTTTAATATCTTATATGTGTAGCACCGTGCCATCCTTTCGGTGACTACCTTTTTTTTGCAAATCTTATTTGCGTAGCACCGTGCATCTCTCCGGACTACTTTTCATATTTAATTTGTGTAGTACCGTGGATTTTTCCGAACTACTTCTCATATCTGAGTTGCATAGCACCGTGTCTTTTTGGTGACTCCTCAGATTTGATTTGCATAGTTCCATTCGTCTTTCCGGTGACTCCTCAAATCTAATTTACGTACGGTTGTGCCATCATTCCGACCCTACCCATATTATTTCTCTTTTTCAATAGGGTTGTGCCATCAATCTGACTTTTCCTGTATAATTTCTATTTTCTAGTTGGGTCGTGCCATCATTCCAACCCTACCCGTATAATTTTATTTCTTAGATTGTGACCACTTTCAGCCATCAAATCTAATACTCCGGCGTATGAGCATGTTCTGGCCAATATTTCCGTGACTTTCTTGTTTAATATCGACTCATCTATTGATTCCAACATGATCCATATACTTTATACTAGATTTTGAGCGCTTTATTGCTCAGGGGGAGTTTAGTAGCCTTTCATGTCAATTATGTGAGTCACTCTATGGTCATGTCGATTATGTGAGTCACTCTATGGTCTGAAACAGTCTTTGCAAGTTTGGTTTGGGAAGTTCAACACTGTAATTTTATCACTCGTTTGGTTTAGGAAGTTTAACACTGTAATTTTATCACTCTATGTTTTATCGGCAATATGCATCAAATCCAGTATTTAATGAGAAGAAAATCACATTGAGATTGACTGTCAATTTTGTGAAGTCGACTGATCAACTTGCAGATATATCACCAAGCCCCTCATCAGTCCTCGCATTAATTACATTTGTAACAAGCTAGATACATGAATTGTATGCACTAGCTTGAGGGGGAGTGTTAGAACATGAATATGTTTATACAATCCTATTAGAATAGGAATAGGTTTATACAATCCTATTTAGAATAGGAATAGAAATACAAATAGAAATAGGAATACTAAATAGTATCCTGCTTAGTAAAGGATTGTATTCTAGTGTCTATAAATAGGGTCTCAATGTAATAATGTAGACACAACAACAATTCAATAATATTCTTTTCCTATATTTCTCACAATTTCTATATGCTAGGTATTCCATTTTCTTCCATTTCACCTTTAGCTTTTATCCTGATTTTCTCAGTCAATTTCGGTCTAAGTACCCAAAATCAGTTGACCAGATCCGATTCTGATCCCATACTCACACCCACGTCGTGTTGATGGGGGTGCGGCACCGAAAGTGAAGAGCGTGAGCAACTCAGTCTTCTACTTCTCAAAGTTTTGCGGGGAGGTGTAGCATGTGTAAATTGATTCTTATGATGCCAATTCCTCAAACTGACCATCTAAACCACCAACACAAATATTATCCTCTAGGATCTCTTTCCCTCTTTCCCTTGCTCACCATAGCTCTTTGACGCAACTGTTGAATTCCTTGAAAACACTATTATTCACCTTTTCCAACATTTCTGTTGTCAACTCAATACAGTTTATTTTCTTGTTTAATTAGTAGGCAGCAAGTTTAAGACCCATTCTTGCCAAGTTTGCAGGGTTCCTTTGCTTACCAATGTAGAGAACTAATTGATGGTTTGCTTTCCAGGTGGCTGTAACATCTTTAGCACAGCAAGCTGCTAGTGTTCAGGATCAGTCTGATGAAGTAGCATCACAGGACAGTAGCTCCGAAACAGTTGTTAGGACCCCACCTCCTAAAAGTAGTGCAGTTGCTACTTCTTCTCCGACAACGCCTGCTGGGAGTCATGCAACCCAGGGTACTAACCATGCTTCTACTCAAAAGATTCTGATACATCAACTAGTTTGTTTATTTGTGTGCTGAACTTCTGGATGTGGTTTCTTGGAACATGCAGGTGCTGCTGCTGCTGCTGCTTTATCTCCAACTAGTATGTCAAATGCAATAAAAGAAGACGATTTGACAAGTTTCCCAGCTCGAAAGCCTTCCCCTGCCCTTAGTGAAACTGCTTTAAGGGGTGTTAGTAGAGGTGCTCTATCTAACCAACCCGTGGCTAGTATTGCACTTGGTTCTACTGGTTCAGTTACTGGCAATGGAGGTCTAGGAGCTATTCCTTCTGCTTCTGAAGTTACAAAGAGAAATATCTTAGTTTCAGAGGAGAGGCTTGGAAGTAGCGGCATGGGACAGCCTTTGGTATCGCCTCTGTCTAACAGAATGATGATGTCACAAGCAGCTAAGGCTACAGATGGAATTGGTGTTGCTGATGGGGCAACTCTCGGTGATGCTACGGTCATGACTGGTAGAGTTTTCTCTCCTTCTGTTGGTCCTGGTATGCAATGGAGGCCTGGTAGTTCCTTTCAGAATCAAAATGAAGCGGTATGTTTTCCATGCTATCATTTATGCGAGCTCTGTGATCACCACTTAAATGTGTACCTGTATGTACTATCACATGCTGCAAGTTTAAAATAAAAGTAATTAGCCTCTCAAATATGTTTTTAAATGCTCACATATCCTTAAAAACTGTTCGACCTTGCTATCTTCTTTACTAGTTGAAACATGCTTTCATTCTATATCTTTATTCTTATGCAATTGGAGTGTTATATACTTATATTTTAAAAACTATGAGCACCTCATCCATATTGAAATATAATTCTTTTTGCCTAAATTGATGCGGGGTGGTGGCAGCCTGTCACGAAGACAATCTGTCTCAATATATGGACTGCTTTAAGAATTCAGAAGGATATGTCATGGCATGATCTCAAACGTGTTTAAAGTTTTTATTTCCTTTTTGTTTTGATAACATACTTTGGGGTGTGTGTGCTATTACTGTGATTTAATCTTTTCCCAAGGTTTCTACCTTTTTTCCTAGACTATTATGTATTCAACTGCTTCAACAGGTATCGTTTCATTTCAATTTGTTTCTTGGGATTTCAGGGACAATTCCGTGGAAGAACTGAAATTGCACCTGACCAGAGGGAGAAGTTTTTGCAAAAATTTCAGCAAGTACAGCAGCAAGGTCAGAGTAATCTTCTTGGCGTACCTCCATTTAGTGGTGGAAACCTTAAGCAGTTCTCGTCCCAGCAACAGAATCCACTTTTGCCACAGGTGTTGTTTAATGGTTGTGCATGATATTTGTTTCTTTTGAGTTAGTTGGATTACCTTGTTTCCCTTCATTACATAATCTTTTGTTACTTCAATGCCATATTTTCCTTAAAACTTTTAGCACACCCTTTTTCACTGTGCACCTCTGTTGTCGTCGATTCCCTTGTCTTTTTTGTGAACTTTTCCTTTGTTAAAGGGTCGTTAGTTTTAATTAAGATAATGACGTCTGAATCTGAATGCATATTAGTAAGATGTGTGTTTGGATTTGTATGCGGAATGAGTGGGACTGTTTGTTTTCTCAATAACTACATGTTTGTAATTTATTTTTGTCAAAACAATAATAATTATAAAATTCAAATAAATATTTTATATATTATATCTAAAATTATTAATTTATTATGCCGCAAGGTGATAGTTGTATGTCAGTCTGTCACTGGGTATGTTGTTGTAAGGTGACAGTTGTCTGGTCAAGTGGTGGCGGTTGACAATGGTATTGGTGGTTGCGGTGGAGCTGGTTGGTATGGTAGTGATCAGTTGTGGTAGGCGGTGGCTGTGGTTGGCAGTGATGGTGGAAGTGGTTGGTACTGGCAGCTGGTTGGCAGTGTCTGTGGCTGCCTGAGGGTGGTTGTGGATAGATTTGTGGTGAATACTCATCTCTGTAAAAAATCTTTAAATGACCTCTTCATAATATTAAGACTACGTTCAGAATTTGAATGATTCCGATACATTCAGACCCCTAAAGTGGTTAAATCTAAATAAAACAAATGCACTTATTGGTTTAAGGTCTTAATCGTTTTGATTCAGACCTCCATTATGTGAAAACAATTGGGGCGTAAGTATTGCTTTTAGATTCAGTGGACTTGTTAATATATGACAAAAAATCTTTAATGTTGAAAACAGAAGTACTGTTACTGTCATACCCCTTGTATACATGAAAAAGGTATCTTCTAGATTTCATTCCATAGGTTCTACATCAGTTGAGAATATCAATGTTATTGCATTGTTTAACACTGTAAGAATTTTCTAGTCTGGTACAGTGTTATCAAAGGCGAAAAGCGCAAAAAAGCTCTAAGGTCTGTGGGGGCTTTAAGCGCAAAGCGCAAATAAAGTGTGGGCTTTAATGAAAAAAGACGCAAAGGGAGAAAAAAATACAAAAATATATGTTTAGTCCAAGACTAATAATTATAAACATGAATGACACATTTATGACCAAAGAAATTGAATTTTTTTAATGATAAAGTGAAATATCAATTGTTTAGTGTCACTTCTTCATAAGAGGCTCATTGGCAAGGAAAAGTTTGCCTTAGAACCTTGATGACAACACTGAAGCGCACATAAAGCGAGGCAAAGCGCTTAACATGTTTTGAGCCTCACTTCAGGGCTTAAGCGCGCCTTTGATAACACTGGTCTGGTACCGTAAGAGGATGATAAAATCCATTTAACCAGAAAGAGGAAATATAGTGAGTTTTTTTTTTTTTTTTTGAGAATTAAAGGGAATATAGTGAGTTGGGTACGAACTCGAGAGTCTGCTTCTGTTTTTGGGCTTATCACACTTTATTTCATGTTGCATCGGTTTCCTTCATACTTGTATGCTGGATGCTTGGTTTTTTTATGTGCTCTTACCTGATTCTATTGTTTCAGTTCAACTCTCAAAGCTCCTCTGTCGCTCCTCAACTTGGACTGGGAGTTGGGGCCCAAGCAGTTGGTATTAACAACATTGCCTCATCTGCATCTTTGCAGCAACAACCAGGTTTGAGTGCACAACTTTTGGCGTCAATTTCTGTCATATGATTGCCTTCTGTATTGAGCCCGTTTGGTCTGGGCTAAGTTGTAACAAAATTTAATTTGCGAGGCTTGTCCGGTTTGTTGGTTTCATTCGTTTCCTGCTTCTTTATAAAAAACAAGAGGCTTTCCTTTTTTTTATGTGTAAATTTAAATTGATCTATTCTTTAATTGGTTTTAGATAAGTAATCTTTTATCTTGTATTTGTTTTAGTTGTCTCAAAGATGATGAAAGTCATGCAGGAAGTCCATCTTTGTACCTACTGTTTCTTTTCTCTGCCTTCCATTTTGAATTATTTATTTTGTTCTTTTCTTCTTCCAGTTTGATATTTGCTGTTATCTTTTCCTACCTTCTTTATAATAAGAAACACACTAGTATTAGTTTATCAAGTAACCATATTTCTTTGTTTAAACCTCTTAATTATGTTCCTTGGAGAAAGGGAAGTGAGCCGATGATAGTAATGTGGAGAATACATGTGAAGATTGCTTTTAATCTGATTTTCCTGAAGGTTCTTATTTATAGAGATTTGACACGTCTTTGGATAGTAACCATATTTCTTTGTTTAAACCTCTTAATTATGTTCCTTGGAGAAAGGGAAAGTGAGCCGATGATAGTAATGTGGAGAATACATGTGAAGATTGCTTTTAGTCTGATTTTCCTGAAGGTTCTTATTTATAGAGTTTGACACGTCTTTGGATTTTCATTATATTGTTAGTTGCCAAGAGTTGATATATGAATATAAATAGTTGTGTCGTTACTTACTATCAATACTAGAAAATCTGTCAAAGTTGATGCATGCGCATATTCGTATGTTAAAAAGCCAATGTTCACGTTGAATAAATTGCTGAAATTTAATTTAAAGTGAATGAAATGTCTTTTTGGGGGATACTGATATAAACTTAAGAGATATCAGCAGGTTGTTAACTTCCCTTATTTGAGAGTGTGAGGTTGTTATCTTTCCATATATGGTTTAGGGAATTTCTCACCTCATGAGCTAGCTAACCTTTGGGGTTGAGTTAGGCCCATGACCCATTTTTTGATCATGGTATAGTATCAGTGTGAGACTTAACTCAATTTTTAGTTTATCCAACACTGGGATACCATGATATGTTGTTCACGATCCAAATTTTCAGTCCTCAGCTTTGGCGCGGTGTTAAGTGTCCCACATTGGTTGAGGGATGATAATGAAATAATTTTTTGATCGTAAATAAAATGAAACCTACCCTTCTGGAGTGAGATGAGCGGATTCTGAGAGAAGAGGTTTTGTTGGTATGGAACCTACCCTTCTGGAGTGGAGGTTTGCCATCCTAGACCAGAGTGTTTTAGTGCCCCTCTTGATGGTGAATGTTGGAAATCCTCTCCCCGAATCACCTTTAATGGACATTCCAAAGGATTTGCTTGGCTGACTTACATGTCTAGAAAAATAAAGTAAAAAAAGTATGGATAATGAAGTCCACAAGGAGTGATAACCAAACCTTGATTATGGGAATTGATGGTTAGGTCGATTACTTTAGTAGAGCAACACCTAAAAAAGTTTACTACCCTTGACCATTTCTTTCAATATTGTCAATTCTCAAAATACTAAATACCCTCGTTTATACTCTTGTCCAACAACTTTCTTCCTTTCTTTAGCCACTTCCGCATCTGTCATATTCGGGAAAGCTTACTCTGTGGCAGAACAATTAGCAATGCCAACAGTATGGTGAGGACTGGCTTTGGGTCGTTCTTTTCTTATATGGTCTTGGACTGTCTTCCCTTCATGTGCTAGCTTTGTGGTTGAGTTATGCCCGAAGTCTATTGAGGTTGACTTAGGGCCAAAGTCTATTTTCATAAGATAAGCAATAACAGTTAAAAGTTTTGGGATATGGAGTGTAGTGGGAACATCAATTTAGCCCAACCACAGGTAGTAATAGGAGATTGAGGACAGTTTTTGGGTTTAATCTTTATTATAATGACATATTTCATGAGAAATTATTTAGGGCGTCACAACTTTGTTTCAAGTATGGATAAATTATTTGTTTTGGGTATATCAGTGTGTCCTCAACTCAAGTATATGTACATGAGAGGTGACAGAATGATACATATCTGTATGAGATGCCGACTTCAACAATCATGCAGACCTTAACAATAGTACTTGGAAGCAAAGGTTTCTCCCAACCTCCAATATTTATTTGTTGGTTTTAACAATAAAACTTATGTGAGATGCCGACTTAAACAATCATGCAGACCTTAACAATAGTACTTGGAAGCAAAGGTTTCTCCCCAACCTCTAATATTTGTAGGCCTTAACAATAAAACTTATGTGAGCCTTTGATTTCACGAAATCATGTGTCCTTTTCTTCCCTTTTTATTTCCTTTTGTATATTTAGGTACGTGGTGGTACCTGAGTTACCTGTGACTGAAATTATAAGAATTCCTGAGACTGTAACTGTGTAATGGAATTATGAAAATTCTGTAAAATTCATTTGGCAGCTAGGGATTAGAGATTGCTCTTGCTAGAGTTTCCCTCTTGATACATCTCCATTTGGGGTGGAGCTATCCCCTCTCGTCCTCTTTCTAGCCACACTGACATTATCCATTCATCTCATTTGCTGTATTAATTGAAGAACTAGGCATTTTGTTGACAAATAATAGATCTGGCACCTGAGTAGAGTTTGGAACTAGTAAGAGGAATCAAGATGCTTTGAACTCACTTTCTCTTGAGTAAATCCCATAACAGCCGTATTAGGCATACTCCACCTTTCGTATATATCAAGTATTAGGATTCACTAGATAAACACTAGTTAATTCAAATTCCACCTGCTATTTGGATCGAGTCATGAAGTTCTCAAGATAAACACCAGTTGATATCATCAAAGCAACTTGCACGATGTGTAGTGGATTAGATAACATTGTTACCTCCACCTTACCTATTGGGTGACAATGCCACCAGCTCTTGCACTGAGATGATTGATTTGCTTATTTTCTTTTCCTTTTTTCTCTGGTTCTTAAATGCCAGTCCAATGTTTTTTTGTTGTTTCTGGGTGGGAGGGGAAGGGGTGGTTGGTGAGCTGGGGAAGTTAGGTAGGAGAAAGGAGATGGAAAAGCTGGTCTCTAGGGCGATATTTATTGTCACTGAGGAGATGGGAATGCTAGGGCTTGCATTTGCTAGTTTCTTGTGTTCGTCTCTAGGAAGATATTTGGTGTCTCTTTGAAGATGGGGATGCTAGGGTTTGCATTTGCTAGTTACTTGAGATGGTACTTTTAATAAGATAATATTAGTTGCTTGTGATGGTTTAATGAACTAAGATCATAATTTTTTTCGTAGGCTCTTCTCTTCTTTTGCCTTTAACTACTCCCTCCATTTCAATTTGTTTGATATACTTCCTTTTTTAGTCCGTTTAGAAAAGAATGTCTCTTTCCCTTTTTGTTTGACATACTTCTGTTTTCGTCCATTTAAAAAAGAATGACTCTTTCCTTTTTTAGCAGCTTTTTAATTCCGACTTTCCACATTACATGTTTATGACCACAAAATTAAAGGACATTTTGGTACGTTTGACATATATTTAATCTAAGACCGCAAGATGCAAAAGTCTTCTTTATTTTCTTAAACTACGTGCCAAGTCAAATTAGGCCAAACAAATTGAAGTGGAGGGAGTATTAGATTTGTTGTCCAATTCTTTTGCTTTGCCAATTAGGAGAATAAAATCATTGTTAATTTTGGATGAAGTAGGAGAGGCGGACTGTATTTTCTTCACCATCAATTGACTGATTGACAGTTGCAGAGCCCTAGGAATGGGACTGTGTGGAGGGAGGAGATGATCGAAGTGGTCTATTTTCTTGAAAATTGTAGTTGGAGTGAGGTTACTAATAAAAGGAAATAGCTCAACTTGTAATGGTGATATTCTGTACCTAATGGACAACTGAAAAGAATCAAAGAAAAAGTTTTATCTTCTGTGGCATTTGAAGCAAAAGATAGTTCTATAATGTTCTTTGATACATGATTCATGAACGCTTAAAATGCTTTTATAAATACAATGGTCGCAGATGTAGGCCACTCAAAAGCTGAAGAGTTGCAGCAACAACAGATTTTGCCTGAGGATTCTTCTGCCGATTCTTCTGTAAATGCTGGGCTCGGGAAAAATCTTTTGAATGAGGATGATATGAAGGCTTCATATGGATTAGATACCCCAGTGAGTTAAATATCCTTCACTGATCTGGCTTCCAATATTAAATTGATTTAACTTTATCCCATGTGATTGTTGATAGAGTGGAAGATGGATATTTAATTTTAGTTGATGGACATGTTAATTCCCAACTTACTGTATTTTTAATATCGTTTCAAATAATTTGTTATTAGTGATTCAGAATAACATATCTTAGAGGCCTATTACTCACTTGAGAGAATGTGGTTGTCTAATATATTAATTGTAAAAGGGTCAAATATACGCCTATACTATCAGAACTAATTCAAATATACCCTCACTATTTCGGTTCAAATATACCCTTCTCGTCATACTTCTGGTTAAAATATACCCCTCCCATTATACTTTGACACAAATTTGTCCTTAACTTTAATGGACACATGTTAAGCTCAGAATCAAATGATCCGCCCTATTTTTTGAAGAAACCCACCCGTTTAACCCGACCCGCCCTATTTTCTTTTCTTTTCATCTTCTTCCTCTTTTCAATACCCAAAGCTTCAAATTTTGTTCTTTCCTGATGGATTTCAGTTTTTTCTTCAATTTTTTAAAAAAATTTGGCAGCATTTACATTCAAGCACTAATAAATGAACAAAACATCAGAAATATAACTGAAACCGTAGCTATCAGCTGCTTGCAGCTTGCCATAAGAAAACAATTTGCAAACCCAAAAATATAAAATGAGCCACATCCAAAGAAGCTACATATAAATTAAATTAATTGGCCTACAAGAAAGGTACATGTACATATAATTCACACGTTCAGAACAAAGGGGGTGGGGGGTGCCACAACAGAAGACCTCATAGAACCTATTAAAGAATGATATTCATCTAAGGGGACTGTATTTATATTTATTGATGATAAGTTCAACAAGTTGAAGAGGAAAATCAAAATACCCATGAAAGAACAAGTTTTTTTTTTGAGATAAGGGTAACTTTGTATTCACAAAAAATTCATCATCCAAGGGATGATGAATTGGAAACTTACATCCGACAGGGTGGTGGGCACACCCTCAAAAAGCCATACAGAATTACAAGTTTCCTTTAAAATCGACCATCTCTATGCTTTCCCCTACCAACTCTTGCTTACACCAAAAAAATAAAAGACTTGAGCATTTCATTTCTATCTTCTGAAAACTATCATTTTGTCCTTCAAAACACCTAGCATTCCTTTCTTTCCATAGAGTCCACCATATACAGGCTGGAATAGTCTTCCACCAATCTTCACTTTTCCCTCTGTTGCCAATTCTTGTCCAGCTATTAAGGAGCTCCATGGTTGTCTTTGGCATCACCCAGCTAACCCCTAGTATACACAAAAACATATTCCACAATTTTGAAGCTGCTTTACAGTGAATGAACAAATGAAAATTTACTTCTGCTTCTGCTCACACATAAAGCATCTTGAGCAAAACTGCATCCCCCTTTTTTGTAATGCCTCATGTGTAAGGCAAGCTTTTCTTATGACCAACCAGACAAAACATGCTACTTTTAATGGGCTTCTTGTCTTCCACACTAGCTTCCAAGGCCATTTTTTAGTCACTGACTGATTGACATTTATCCTCCAGTAGCAGGATCAGGATTTGACTGTGAACATTCCTTTGCTATGTAACTTCCAAATTGGTTTATCCTTTCTTTGAGATATGGCTGGAGGGGTGTTTAGCACCTCTAGTAGCCTGGCCACATCCTCAATTTCCCAGTCATTCAAAGCCCTCTTGAACACTAAGTTCCACCCTTGTTGGCTCCATAGTTGAGCAATAGTAGCAGATCTTTGTAAGCTCAAGGTGTAGAGGTTTGGGTATAAGTTCCTCAGGCTATCATCCCCTTTCCAGATTTTCATTCCAGAAATCTGTTTTCAGACCATTGCCCACACTAATATAAATATTGTTATTGAACTGGGCCACAACCTTCTGATTTGTCTTCCACACACAGCATCCAAACGACCCCATCACCTCCTCAGTAGTCCATTGGCTAAACAAGCCATATTTCCCTGCGATGAATCTTCTCCATAGGGCTCCATCTTCAGTACAAAATCTCCATAGCCATTTTTGTAGCAAGCAATTATTCTGGATGCTAAGATTTCTCATGCCAAGGCCACCTTGTTTTCTGCTCAAAGTGAGTGTCTCCCATTTCACCAGGTTGTAGCCTTTCTTTTCTTTTTTCCCTTGCCAAATGAAGGATCTTCTCATTCTGTTGATTTTCTTCACAATGCTCTTGGGTATTGGAAATAGACTCATCATGTAGGTAGGTAACCCATCTAAAACTGACTTGATGAGAGTCAACCTACCCCGCAGTGATAGGTACTGACTTTTCCATCTTGAATGTCTTTTTTCACATCTCTCCATCACCTCATTCCATACCTCCAACTCCTTGTTTTTGGCCCCCAGAGGCAAACCCAGGTACTTCGTGGGCAGAGAGGCTATTTGACATCCCAGATTCTCAGCTAGACTTTGTAGATTGTCTACCTGATTAATTGGGAAGAGGAAACTTTTCGACCAGTTAACATCTACCCCCTAGTAATTGGTACTGACTTTTCCATCTTGATAGCCTGTTCTCACATCTCTCCATCACCTCATTCCATACCTCCAACTCCTTGTTTTTGGCCCCCAGAGGCAAACCCAGGTACTTCGTGGGCAGAGAGGCTATTTGACATCCCAGATTCTCAGCTAGACTTTGTAGATTGTCTACCTGATTAATTGGGAAGAGGAAACTTTTTGACCAGTTAACATGAAGCCCTGAAATGCCCTCAAATATTGTAAGGATTGCTCTCAAGTGTCTGATTTGTGCCACTTCTGCTTCACAAAAAACCAGGGCATCATCTGCATAGAAAAGATGTATGATTTCCAGATCATCACCTCTCCTTATTTGAGCACTGAACCCTTTTATCCAGCCATTTACCTTTGCTGTTCTGAACATGTGGTTCAGACCCTCCATAGTTAGTAGGAACAAAAAAGGTGACATAGGGTCTCCCTGTCTAAGTTGAAGCTTTGGGTAATGAAAAGAGAAAAAGAAGATGAAAAGTAAAGAGACTAGGACGTATCGGGTTTAATGATTAGTTTTTTTTTTTTTTTTAAATTGGGTATTTAAAATTGGGGGTGGGTCATTTGATTCTGATCTTCATCTTGACACTTGTCCCTCCCTTAAAGTTAAATTTGTGCCAAAGTATAATGGGAGGGGTAGATTTGAACCTAAAGTAGAACACAAGAGGTATATTTGAATTGAAAGTATAAATAAGGGGTATATTTAGACTATATCTGATAGTATAGGGATATATTTGACCCTTTTCTGTATATTAATTGTCTACTACTCAAGTTTGACTGAGCAGCTCGAGTAAAATTTGAAGTTCTGGAAGTGGTATGTTTTGGAATCAATAGGCAAAAGTAGTTTAGTGCTGAATGAGTTAGTAGAACTTTTTTTTTGAGACAAGTAGTAGTTGTATTCAGTAAAATCCAGAGCTGGGAGGATGCTAGTGTGCAAGCAAAAAACAGAGATAGATGGAGAACTGTCTGTGCTTGTATCTGGTGAATGCTAGATGTTTTGATAGCATAGAGAATAGTATGCAAAAGATTAAGCTACACTGCCTTTTGTTACTATGTTTTTGGTGTAACTAAACATATTCAAATGACACTATCTCCATAATTGATGTTCTAGATTCAATTTGGGTAGGAGTTAGTAGGATTTTGAAGTAACTTTGTAAATATAGTTTTCAGTACAACCTATGTACTGTTTGTGGGAAGTATATGAAGTTACCAATTCCAAAAAAAGAAGAAGCTTAGCCACCCCAGAAAAAGGTGCTAAGTTGGAAACTTTACAAGCATCGAAAGAGTGCTTAATCCCCCCTGCCCAGAACCCTATACACATATTTTGTTTAAACCAAAAAAGGACAAGCTAAGATAATTCATTCTAAGTTTCTAGATAGAACTGCTGGGGCTTTAAAATGTCTACCATTTCTTTATTTCCACACTGTCCACCAAATGCAAGTAGGAATGATCTTCCACCAGTCCTCCCCACCTCTATTTCCAATACTCCACCAATTGTTCAGCAGTGCCAAAATAGAACTAGGTTACCCAAGTTATTCCCAAAATACGAAAGAGCATGTGCCACAGATTGATAGCTGTCCTGCAGTGTAGGATTAAGTCTTCATTGTTTTCACCCTCTTGTTCACACAAAAGACACCTTGAACAAATCTGAAGACCTCTTCTTTGAAGCTTATCTAGAGTTAGGCAAGCTTTCCTAATTGCCAACCAGACAAAGAATGACACCTTCATAGGGATTTACTTTCCAGACTTGTTTCCAAGGCCATTTCTCCTTTACAGGACCTCTTTGCTTCAACTGCCAATACACTGACTTTACTGAGAAGGCCCCTTTACTGTTTAGTTTCCATCTGAGTCTGTCTGTAGATTCAGTGCATCCACCGAAAGTTCCCAATATTTGACGTAGTGTGATGAAACTCTCTACTTCCCAGTCATTAAGAGCTGTTCTAAAGATTATATTCCACCCTAGTTGACTCCACATTTGGTTGATCATTACATGCTGTTGGAGACTTCTAGGATAAAAAATTGGAAACATAGACTTCAGATTACTCCACCCAATCCAGTGATCAGCTCAAAATCAGTTTTTCTTCCATGTCCCACAATAATCTACACATTTTCCAGTAATTTTGCCATTGGTTTATGATGGTTCTCCACACACTACTACCATAGGGATTAGGGACTATTAACATCATTTGTGGTCCACAGGTTCAACATTCCATATTTCTGGGATATGAATTTCCTCCACAGTGCACTGTCCTCATTATTGAACCTCCAATGCCATTTTTGTAGCAGACTTCTATTATGCAGACTCAGGTTCTTTATGCCCAAACCACCATGTTTCTTGGTCAAGGTTATCGCCTCCCATTTAACTAGATTATTGCTTTTCTTCTCTTTGTTGCCTTGCCAAAGAAAGTCTCTTCTCAATCTGTCATTTTTCTTGACCCCTTTGAGTAATGGAAAGATAGACATTATGTAAGTAGGAAGAACATCTAAAACTGAATTAATGAGAGTTAATCCCCCAACCTAGAGAAAGATACTGGGATTTCCACCTTGACAATTTTTTGTCACACCTTTCTATAACCTCATTCCAGATTTCGATAGAACAGTTTTTTGCCCCCAAAGGCATCCCCAAATAAATTGTAGGAAGAGCTCCCACCTGACAGCCAATGGTACCTGCCAGAGATAGAAAATTTGGAACATCATTGATCAAATAAAGAAGGCTCTTTGGCCAGTTAACATGTAAACCTGTCAAAACTTCAAAAATAGTTAGGATGGCTCTGAGATGTCTGATATGTACCACATCAGCTTCACAAAATACTGGAGTCATCGGCCATACAAAATATGAGATATTTCCATTCCTTCAATGGCACTTGGTTGAGATCCAAAGCCTTTGATCCAACCATTCAACTGTGCGACCTTAATCATATGATTAATTCCTTCCATGACTATCAAGAATGAAAAGGTGGCAAAGGATCACCTTGTCTAAGCCCCCTTTGAGATTGAAAAATACCTTTAGGCCCACCATTAATCAGTACTGAGAATTTAACATTAGAAATGCAAAATCTTATCCAGTTTACCCATTTGTTACCAGAACCCATGTCTTTTAAGGATTTTCAGCAAGAACTCCCAATTGACATCTAGTAGAACTGGTTTGGCTCCATGGGTCCATCGTCTTTTAATTGGATGGTTGTGAAAGGATAATTCATGGTGAAAAGGTCATTGTTAGAAGCCAAAAGTATAATTTAGGTGGTTGAGTGTTCCCTAACAGATAGATAAGCTTCTTTCCTCGGGGTGGATGAGGGAATGAAAGGAGGAATATGATTGAGGATTTAGAATAGGGAGTTCAAGTGATTGATAGGAAGTTGAGGATTCTGATCTCTCTCTCTCGTTCTCTCCTTTTTCTCCTCAATGTGTTTGACTTGAGATTAGACAAGCAATGGGGGCATGGTAAAGGATATGGTTAATGACATGAGATTGATAAGCAATTAGGATTGCTAGGATGAAGTATGTCTCGGATTTGATGCTAATTAGGTTGTTTTAAAGAGCACCGACTCAACTGATCTTTATTTAAATTACATTGATGCACCCATTTCCGTCTTGTTAATTTTTTTTACTTTTTTCGTCTTTCTGTAGGCCAAATTAGTAGTCTGTTAGTCACTTGTAAAAGATTCTTAGATGCAGGGAGGAGTCACTGGCTCTGTTGCTGAAGCATCCCCTAGGCCAAGGGATACAGATCTATCTCCTGGGCAACCTTTGCAATCCAGTCAGTCATCTGGAAGTCTTGGGGTTATTGGTCGAAGGAGTGTTGCTGACCTTGGAGCAATTGGTGATAGCCTGAGTGCGTCCTCTGCAAATTCTTCAGGAATGCATGACCAATTATATAACTTGCAGATGCTTGAATCTGCCTTTCACAAACTTCCTCTGGCCAAAGATTCCGAACGAGCAAAGAGCTATACACCGGTAAACTTCAATACTTCATCCACTGTGCTACTTGGTAAATAAATTAATATGAACTTATCTTTTGCCGTTGCTTCAGAGGCACCCTGCAGTTACCCCTTCAAGCTATCCCCAAGTACAGGCTCCCATTGTCAATAATCCTGGCTTCTGGGAAAGACTTGGAGCTGATAACTATGGCACTGACACTCTGTTCTTTGCATTTTACTACCAACAGGTGCAACTGTAATTGGCGTTGGTTTTTGATGGCCTTTTTCAATCTTAGAGATCATATTTATCTTGTTCTTTGATTACCCTTTGCAGAATACTTATCAGCAGTACCTGGCTGCTAAGGAGTTGAAGAAACAGTCTTGGAGGTATCACAGAAAGTATAACACATGGTTTCAGCGGCATGAGGAGCCAACTGTTGCCACTGATGACTTTGAACAGGGAACATATGTCTACTTTGATTTCCACATTGCCAATGATGAACAACATGGATGGTACGCCACTATATAATACTTTGTTTGATTTGATTACTGTATTCCAAAATGCTTCTGTTTTGATATTCAATTGACGGACTTTCATGGGAATTAAAAATAACAAGCCTATGTTACTGTCTATATTTGGTTTGTTTGTTTTAATAGAGGTAAGATGTGTTAAATTTTCCATTTGATTTACTAAGAAAAATAACAAGGCTATGCTACGGCTTAAGGCTCCCCTTGTTGCTAATGGGTATTCTAAGATATTTGGGCGTGATTACTGTGATACCTTATCTCCCTTGGCTAAAATAACATTTGTCCATCTTTCTCTATCCATGACTACTGTTGACCATTGACCTCTTTATGAATTGGACATTACAAATGTTTTTCTCCATGGTGACCTTGAGACTATGTTGCTCGGACTCTTCCAAAATGTCAACGGGTGCTTGTCGGATTCTCCAAAAGTAGTGTATTTTTGGAGAATCCGACACGGATGCGGCATCGAAAGTGAAGAGTTTGTGCAACTTAGCCTTGAGAAGGATGTTTATAGAGAGCAATCACTTGGTTTTGTTGCTCGAGATGAATCTAGTAGCCCGGTATGTCGATTGCATCGGTCACTCTATGGTTTTAAACAGACTCCTCAAGCTTGGTTTGGGAAGTTCAACACAGTAATTTAGGAGTTTGGCATGACTCGCAAGGAAGCTCCCCCTCCGCGCTCCCTTGCACCTTGGTGAAGGAAAAAAAATGACCTAAAGATTAGGAGAATACTTATGGGACCGGGCGATTTGGTTTACTTGATATTTCCTCTATTTATGTAAAATGCATACGTGAATGTGGTTTCAACTGATTTCATGACTGAGTTCATCGTTGTACTTGTGCTCAGGTGCCAGAGGATCAAGCAGGAGTTCACATTTGAGTACAATTTTCTTGAAGATGAGCTCATTGTATAGAATTTGTTTATACCTATAACATTTATTTTTCTATCTGCCCTATTTTCTTTTGGCTGTCTAAATTACATGGTTTGTACTGTAGTTTTCATCTTTCCAAGGCGTTTTTTCGTTTGATGCTTTAGACGCCTTCATTTAAAAGAACCAGCAGAGATATCAGGATTCAAATTTCAGTTAGTATCAGATTACACACCTCTCTTCATGCTGTTATAAATTCGTTAGAAAAATAGAAACATTCTGTCAACAGAGGCACTGCTAATCTCTTGTTAGCATATTTTGGTTCAGAAATGCACCCCCTCCTCTCCCTTTCAATTCATGTGGTGGCGTTTGATTAAGAAAGAAAACTTTAGGAACTTGTCGTTTTTACCATGCAGTGAGATTTCCGTAGCCATAAAAGCATGTCATTAGTGGGTAAAATAGAAAGTTGAAAGTTAGATTGTTGCAAATATTGGAAGTTGCTTATGAACATAGTGCCACATAAAGTGGAAAATTAGTGCCATTGTCAGTCTCAACGTTTCCAATACACATTTAGTCTCTGCTGCACAATATAAGAAGCTTTTGTATGCGGCCAGGGTCAGTAAAACACTCTTCGCCATAAATTATATTGTAAATATAGGTCAAATATTATTTATGTTAGATAAATATTTGGTTTTGCACACCTTGACATTATAGAGAGTTACCTCAACGATCAAAAGACGTTAAAGCTTCCAAAGCACGGGAATTCGGTTCCCATGGAAATCATTAACTCTAAGGTTGAGCTTAGGGATGACAGTAGAACGAGTCAGGATGGTGCAGGTCTTGACCTACTAAGTTTTGACTCGTCTTGCTTTACCCTATTTAGTATTATTTAAAGAATTTTCCCTTCTCCACCTGCCCCGCCAAGTTCTTTCATGCTCTGTTCCGTTTAAAAAAGAATGATTTGATAAGCAATTAAATACAGCGAAGAAAATGTTGTTACAATTACACTAATTTAGACAACACAAATGAGTTATTTCCCATGCCTAATTGTAATGTACAACACATTGATAAGCACTAAAAAGATAAGCCCCATCTTTCTTAACAGACCAATGACAAACATTCTATCACATCCTAAGGCCAATATGTCAAATTATTGAATAATTTTACTTTTATTTATTAATTTTATCATTAAAATATCTTCTCCTCCCTTACATTTTTTTTTATTTTCCTTAATAGAATAATTTTTTCATACATCATTATTCTTATTAAAGGCTCATTGAGTTATAGTAGCAAGGACTCTAAAATTTAAGTTAAGAGAACGATACTATTGCTATTTAACTTTTCCATAAAAATATTATTTTATAGACATAACAAAATTAGGTGCAAACTAAAAAGTATCTTTTTATTATTTGTAAATTTTTGGTATTGGTGATAATTACACATCGGTCTCTCTATATTTTATATTTTTGTAATCTATTATGTCTTGTAAATATTTTTCTAACTACAGTATCTTGTAACTTCAATAGAGAAATATTTTTCTTAAATATTGGATAATTTTAGTTTTATATTAATCTGATAATGAATGATAAATTTCATTTCATGTATATTTTGTAAAATAAGACATATCTAATATCATTTCTAACTAAGAAAATTATTAAAATATTTAAATATTTGAAACCTTCTCACGCATGGTTGGAATAACATATTCAAATTATGCTTTGCTAGAATAATTTCTTGTCAACTTATACCCTAGTTTGGTTTATACAATTGTTAGTTCTATAATAATTATTTTTATGATTTAGTTAAATACGAGTGTGTAGTTTGATTTAATTTCGATTGCATTCATTCATCAATATTTTAGTTTTTCTTTTGAAGGTTGAACAACCTTTACGAAAATTGTGGCTACACCATTGAACATTTCCAATTAAAGAAATATATCCAATTTTGAGATATGCTTATCATGCTTATTCCTGTCCTTGATGTTCTGATAGCTAACAAATCGTGTAAAAGTTGTAACAAAAATATGGATTGGTGTATGAAGAGTCGACTATACTTTGTTATTTAATTGACTTTATGTTTTGATATTATCGTGCATAAAAACCAACTTTATGTATGTCTTGAAGCATTTACATGTCATTGACATTGCTAGCTAATTAAGCCTATTAATTGACTGCCTTGATCATGTATAGATATGGTAAAATTAGCCCATAAAATATAATCTGTCAATTCGTTCATGTTTCTGCTGATTATTTATTTGTTCATCATCAAATATTTTTAAAAAATATGTTTTTTATTTAATATGTTATATATGGTCATATTACAAAAGAAAAATAGATGGCACGCTGGTAGGTGGCACCAACATTCTCCGAAAATATTGGTAGGCAGCACTAACATTCTTTAGACCAAAATGCATCACGTTATAACTTGAATCTGCATCATTTAAAGATGTAGTACCAAATGACGTTAGTACATGGAATGTATGTAAAATAGATGAATGAAACAACTGTTAAAATTGAATAGAAAGAGTAAGTATGAAGGTAGATTGTAAAATAGTCAACTAAAAAGTAAAGCATGCATATGTACTTTAACAACCAAGCTTTAAAACTGAATATGTATGTAGTAGTAGCAAATACTGAAAATAATGTAACTTTTCTCGGGGAATTTCTCTAAATGTTAACCATCACGTGAGCTCGTGATAACCATCACGCGAGCTCATGCTGATTCAACGTCTTGACCACATTGTCACAACCATTTTATACCTTGTTAGGGTAAAAGACAAACTTAACTAGTGGATCTTTGAGCCCTTACTAGGAGCTTTATGAGGAGTCGCCCTAATCAACGACATGATCCCATCCTATGCTGGCAGTACAATTATGAAGTTTAGATTACCTAACTCTATCCAACTCGATGCTTAATACTGCTCCCAAAATAATGCAATAATTATCAATAACTGGTATAATGTCCCATTTAGGATAAAAATCTCACTTTGCAAGAAAGCTAATAATCTCTTTATAATTGTTACGCCCGAGCCTACACCCTGGGTGGGACTGACACTTGAGAACCATTGTTGGCCCCAAGCGAACCCTTGGCCTGGCTTAACTCTCAGCGGAAGACTTAAATGACAAAAAAATAGTCTAAAAAGATAAACTCATACAATAAACTTAGAATGTCTTAAAAGAAACATTCAACTAGCCAAAATGGCAACTCAAGTCTCAACATAAATGCTGAAATGGAAAAGACTCATGAACTAGCAATCATTAACTGTCTATGAAGCCTCTAATAACTGAGATGGACGTCGAGACAAGACCCACGACATCCTAATGAACTAAAATGATAAAGTAATAAAAAAGGGGATCCTCCGGAAGCAATGAGGCTCACCAACAACTCTGAAGTTCAACTGAATCAACGAAGCGCTGGATGCTAATCCTGGTTACCTGTATCTGCATCATAAAAGATGCAGAACAAATAGCATCAGTACATTGAATGTACGAGCATGCGAGGGGAATTCTAAAACAAGACATAAGCTTGAAAGGAACTGAAGGACCATACCTGGTCTCAACTCAACTCAGCTAATTTTAATATAAAACAGTAATATAAATGCAATATAAAGAAAAGCTTTTAAAACATGTTGATAACAACTCTCTGTACTGAAAAAAAATACAATAGTAACTTCATTTGTATGCAAAGATGCAATTTAAACTCTGTTTGTATATGAAAATACAAATAACTCTGTATATATAAGAATACAAAAATATCTCTGTGGGAGTTTCTCTAACCGACAACCATCACTATAAGCTATGTGATGATACATTGTTTTGCCTCATGCTGCCAGGTCCGTCCTATACCTTACCGGGGCTATAGAACCTAACTACTAAGTGGATCACTAGTCTATGCTAAAAACACTAAGGAATCATCTAAAAAGTATGACCCTTGTCTACCCATGCTGGCCACATGGTTTATGGAGACTTTGAATTATCTGACCTAAACTTGTCCCCAAATAGGTGCTCAATACTACTCCCAAAATGTAACTAGCTCATATGTTTAAAAACATAACTCTTTCTATGGTTTGAGCTAATTACTCAAAAACTATCTCAAAGGCTCTTTTGGAAATCGGTGTTTCCTCTCTTGCTTAAATGTGAAAATATTTACTCTTTGGGAATACTTAATTCCCATATACTCTTTTGAAGAAAATGAACTTCATATGTTCCTCTTACTCAACTCAAAACTCAAGTCTTAAAACAAGTTTAAAACATTTGCAAAAGACTCTTGAAAGGACTCTAAGAACTCTCTAGACTTGGCTCTAAACTTTCCTTGAATTTGAATTTATGGATTCAAGGTTATGATTCATATTTCTGGCTGATTTATAGATGTTTAGAAGTCATTTAGAATAGTTAGAATCGATAGGGAGTGTTAGTACACTTTAGAAGGACTTAAACGGGCTAAACGACGAAAAATGGGTAAGGGCAGACGTCCTGGGCGCACTGCTGGTGCGGGGAGTCAGCCCCAAAGTTCAGAGACTGCTAAATGGCACACTACTGGCTCGCCGCCCCAGCCACTCTGGCGCTTCTGGGGCGCGCCGCGCCAACTTTTCCCCATGCATTCCTGATGAATTTTTCAACTCATTTTCTTATCTTAATTTAATTAAATTCGATTTTTTTTCTCAATTTCTCTTTAGATTCAGATACCCAAAACATGTACACAAGAATCTAACTCAAAACAACTCTACTAATCGACACAATTATCTCAAGAAACTCATTAATCTCATCCCAATTCAAGAACGAAAGCAATTCAAGAACACTCAAACTTTCAACTTTTTAGGATGAATTCACGCTGAAATAAACATGTTTGGCGCATGGGAAGGAACCCAACGCTATGTGAACTCACATACTTCTTAGGGATCAACCCTTGGCGAAATCCACAACGAAACCTTCAAGAACTTGACGAATCTTGACCTTTTCTTCTCCTTTTCTCCTCTTGAGTTCTTTCTCTAAAACTCTAGCGTGAATTTGAGTGCGTAAACTGAACCAATTCAGTTTAGACCCCTACTTAATTACTAAAAATGAAATAACTTAATTGGGTAAGGAAAAGACCAAAATACCCCTCTTAAATTCGGGTAACTTTCCATATCTAGACAACCCGACTTCAAATGGTCATATCTCCCTCATACAAGCTCAAAAATTAACAAACTCGGTAGCGTTGGAAAGATAATTCCAAGACCTTTCATTTGATATTTCATTTGCCACCTAACTCATCATGTACTGAAAGTTATGG